TTTATGACAACATATAACGATCACATATGGTTCCAAACGGCATTATATGACCCCGACATGTATCCCCTTAAATCTCAAGTCTTTTCGACATCGGGTTCCGAAACCTCAAAAATTTCTCAAAAAAAACGTGGATATTAGCCTTCAATTTTGAAATTTTTTTACTTTTTTTCGCCCGTAAATAAAAATTGCCGAAATGTTTACCATGGTTCCTAATACCCTCTAGAAGTCCAATTGGATGAATGGAACCATCCAATTTGCCTTTAAACGACCAATTTACCGGTTTACAACTTGCACCGATTTCATAAACTCAAGCCTTCCACGAACATTTGTGACAACATATAACGATCACATATGGTTCCAAACGACATTATATGATCTCGAGATGTATCTTTTAAATTCGCAAGGCTTTTCTACAACGGGCCTCGAACCCTCCAAAATTTCTCAAAAAGCGTGGATATTAGCCTTCAATTTTGGAATTTTTTGACTTTTTTCGCTCGGAAATAAAAATTGTCAAAATGTTTACCATGGTCCCTAATACCCTCCGAGAGTCCAATTGGCTTGATGGAACCATCCAATTTTCAGTCTACAACTTGCACGATTTCATTAAATCAATCCTACCACGAACATTTATGACAACATAAAATGATCATTTATGGTTTAAAACATTATTACATGACCCCAAGATGTATCCCCTAAAATCTCAAAACTTTTCGACACTGTGCCCGAAACCTCAAAAATTTCTCAAAAAGCGTGGATATTAGCCTTCAATTTTGGAATTTTTTGACTTTTATTCGCCTGTAAATAAAAATTGTCGAAATGTTTACCATGGTTCCTAATACCCTCCGGTAGTCCAATTAGGCGGGTGGAACCATCCAATTTGCATTTAAACGACCAATTTACCGGTTTACAACAGGCACTTATTTAATTAACTCAAGCCTACCACGAACATTCATGACAACATATAATGGTCATTTATAGTTTCAAACTTCATTATATGACCCCGAGATGTATCTAATAAAATCTAAAGGCTTTTCGACATCGGGCCCGAAACCTTCAAAATTTCTCAAAAAAACGTGGATATAGCATTCAATTTTGAAATTTTTTTACATTTTTTCTCCCGTAAATAAAAATTGCCGAAATGTTTATAATGGTTCCTAATACCCTCTGGGAGTCCCATTGGATGGGTGGAACCATCCAATTTGCCTTTAAACGACCAATTTACCGGTTTACAACTTGCACCGATTTCATAAACTCAAGCCTACCACGAACATTTATGACAACATATAATGATCACATATGGTTCCAAACGGCATTATATGACCCCGAGATGTATCCCCTTAAATCTCAAGTCTTTTCGACATCGGATTCCGAAACCTCCAAAATTTCTCAAAAAACGTGGATATTAGTCTTAAATTTTAGAACTTTGTGACTTTTTTTCGCCTCCAAATAAAAATTGCCGAAATGTTTACCATGGTCCCTAATATCCTCCGAGAGTCCAATTAGGTGGGTGGAACCATCCAATTTACCTTTAAATGGTGAATCTATCGGTTTATAACTTGCACCGATTTCATTAATTCAAGCCTACCACAAACATTTATGACAATATATAATAATTATTTATGGTTTAAAACAATATTATATGACCCCGAGAAGTATCCCCTAAAATCTCAAAGTTTTTCGACACTAAGCCCGAAGCCTAAAACATTTCTCAAAAAGCGTGAATATTAGCCTTCAATTTTGGAATTTTTTGAATTTTATTCACCTGAAAAAAAAAAATTGCCGAAATGTTTACCATGATTCCTAATACCCTCCGGTAGTCCAATTAGGTGGGTGGAACCATCCAATTTGCATTTAAACGACCAATTTACCAGTTTACAACGGACACTTATTTAATTAACTCAAGCCTACTACGAACATTCATGACAACATATAATGGTCAGTTATGGTTTCAAACGTCATTATATGACCCCGAGATGTATCTAATAAAATCTAAAGGCTTTTCTACATCGGGCCCGGAACCTTCAAATTTTCTAAAAAAGCCCTCAATTTAGGAATTTTTTAACTTATTTCGCCCGGATATTAAAATTGTCAAAATGTTTACCATGGTCCCTAATACCCACCGGGGGCCTAATAGGGTAGGTGGAACCATCCAATTTGCCTTTAAACGACCAATTTATCGGTATACAACTTGTACCGATTTCAACAACTCAAGCCTACAACGAACATTTATGACAACAAATAATGATCACATATGGTTCCAAACAAAATTATATGACCCTGAGATGTATTCCCTAGAATTTCGAAACTTTTAGACGCTGGGCTCCGAAGACTTCAAAATTTCTCAAAAAGCGTGGATATTAGCCTTCAATTTTTGTATTTTTAGATTTTATTCGCCCGTAAATAAAAATTGTCAAAATGTTTACCATGGTCCTTAATACCGTTCGGGAGTCCAATTGTGCAGGAGTAACCATCCAATTTGCCTTTAAATGACCTATTTACCAGTTTACAACTTGCACCGTTTTCATTAACTCAAGCTTACCACGAACATTTATAACAACATATAATGATCAAATATGGTTCCAACCGGCATTATATGACCCCGAGATATAATTCTAAAATTTCAAGGCTTTTCGACAGTGGGCCTCGAAATCTCCAAAATTTCTAAATAAGCATGGATCTTTAGACTTTAATTTTGGAATTTTTTGACTTTTTTTTGGCCGGAAATAAAAATTGCCGAAATGTTTACCATGATCCCTAATACACTTCGAAAGGCCAATTGGATGGGTGGAACCATCCAATTTGCCTTTAAACAGCCAATATACCGGTTTACAACATGCACCGATTTCATTAACTCAAGCCTACCACGAACATTTATGACAACATATAATGATCATTTACAATTTTAAACGTCATTATAGGACCCCGACATGTATCCCCTAATTCTTAAGGTTTTTCGACACCGAGCCCCGAAACTTCCAAAATTACACAAAAATCATGTATATTAGCTTTCAATTTTGGAATTTTTTTACTTATTTTTGCCCGAATATAAAAAAATTTCGAAAATTTTACCATGGTCCCTAATATCTTTTGTTAATCCAATTGGGTGGTTGGAACCATCCAATTTGCCTTTAAACGACCTATTTACCGGTTTATAACTTACACCGATTTCACTAACTCAAGCCTACCACGAACATTTATGACAACAAATAATGATCATATATGATTCCAAACGACATTAAATAACCTCGAGATGTATCCCCTAAAATTTCAAGACTTTTTGACACTGGACTCTGAATCCTCCAAAATTTCTCAAAAAGCGTGGATATGACCTCGAGAATATAAAAAAAAAAGTCAAAAAAATTCAAAAATTTCAAGTCTTCAATTTTTGAATATTTTTGACTTTTTTTTGCTCGGAAATAAAAATTGCCGAAATTTTTACCATGGTCCCTAATACCCTCTGGGAGTCCAATTGGGTGGGTGGAACAATCTAATTTGCCATTAAACGACCAATTTACCGGTTTACAACTTGCACCGATTTCATTAATTCAAGCCTACCACGAACATTTATGACAACAAATAATGATCATATATGGTTCCAAATGGCATTATATGAGTATATGACCCCGAGATGTATCACATAGAATTTCAAGACTTTTCGACACCGGGCCCCGAAACCTCCAAAATTTCTCAAAAAGCCTTCAATTTTGGATTTTTTTAGACTTTTTTTCGTCCGAAAATAAAAATTGCCGAAATGTTTACCATGGTCCCTAATACCCTCCGGGAGTCCAATTGGGTGTGTGGAACCATTCAATTTGCTTTTAAACGGCCAATTTACCGGTTTACAACTTGCACCGATTTATCAGTTTACAAAAGCCAATTTAATTAACTTGCACCAAACCCGACTTGAACCGAAATTGACCCAAACCCTTTTTAACCCGAATTTAACCCGACTTGTTACTTACCTGACTTGAATTCAACCCGACCCGAATTTAACCCAACCTGTTACAAACCCGATCCGAAATCAACCTGACTTGTTATTGACCTAACCCAAATTCAACCCAAATTATTATTGACCCGACCCGAATTTTACCATACCTATTACTTACCCAACTCAAAAATTCAACCCGATCAGTTACTAACCCGACTCGAAATTAACACGAATTGTTATTGATCCGACCTAAATTCAACCCAAATTGTTCCTCGACCCGATTTTAAATCACTAAATGCAATTTAGACCACCTTATTATTGTAGATTAAAGCATTTTGTCTTGGAAGACCAAGTTGGTCCAAGCCAGCAAAAGAAAGGAGCATCATCCTCAAATTTAAGAGTTAAATATAGTATATATTTGTTGTATGGTCAAAGGAGATAATTATCTTCCTAAATTATAGACTATAGTTCCTTAATATATTGCCATATATAGTATAATCAAAGGAAATAATTAGCTTGATAAAAATGATAATTATCTAGTTATAGGTAGTTGAACCCGAATATGACCTCACTTGGAGATGACCCGACCTGATTGTAACCCACAAATTATTGACTTGAACCAAACCCAACTTGAACCCGAGAATGACCCGACTTGAAAATGACCCAACCTGATTATAACCCGCAAATTATTGACTTGAACCGGACCCGACTCGAACCCGAGAATGACCCGACCTGATTCTAACCCGCAAATTATTGACTTGAACCGAACCCGAGAATTATCCTAACCCGTAAAAACCCGAATTAAACCCGACCTATTGTTCACCCGACCCGAATGTAACCCGACCTGTTATTAACCTGACCCAAATCCGATAAGAAGTATGAACCGACTTAAGCATGACCCAACCTTAACCCGACCCGCATTATGGAATTAATCTGAATTGATCCAACCCGAGTTGACCCGACCCACTCTTACCCGACCCAAACCCGACCCTTTTACCCGAATTGACAGCTCTAATTACATAGTCATCAAATATGCTAAAGCATAAAGCAATTTCTTTGCATACGTGTATACCTTGCCGTTGACCAGTCCATTTATCAAGAAGAAGAACAACCTCCATGACATTTCCATGCTCTTGAAACAAGCAAAAAATCTACATATAAGAACAAAGGCCAAAACACTATATGAAACCTCAGATAGAGCAAGTATACTGTAAAAGGGATCATGAAACCTCAGAGTAATCTTCATCAAAAAAAGATCATAAAACTCACATGTAAGCAAGAAAAAAGGGATGAATACAGTGAGTGAATATATGTCCAAAATAATCTAAATAAGCAGTTAATGCAAGCCAAAAAAAGTCCAAAACATTTCTATTCAAGTAGCACACTATGAAGTATGAATTTCATATTCGCATAGGAAGAAAAGACTTTCTCAGCTAATTAAAGGGAGCAACATGCTTGATATCCAGCCTTGTGACCTGTAGTCTTGTTTACAAAGTTTGCATTGTTCCTCCATACATATATTTTTGTTAACAAAAACCAAGAGATGGAGGGTGTCAAGGAGTGACATTTTTTGCTTTCTCAAGAGGACAAGGGTGACCTTTACAAGAGATGCATGGAGTTGTAATTTTAAACTAAATATGATAGAGGCATGGTCACTACAGGAGCAATTGCAGGGTATAGGAACACTTATAGATTGATTAAGATTGGAAAGAAAAACACATACTCTGTATAAACAGCTGCAAAAATCTGTAAACACAAATGATAAAAGCTTCTAAGATTTACTTCTTCTACTTCTAACTATTGTTATTCAATTATTTTTGTTGTTGTAGTGGTTTTGGTTGATGCTTCCAGTAACGACACCAAAAACACGAGGGAAAGCTATCACAGCGAGGAATAATAGGGACTTCTAGACCTATAATTTTCTGTATAACAAGGATTTTGTTAATATGTGCAAGAATTCATACTTTGACAAGCATCAAATAATTCTCCTTGTAATGAAACACATTGTGGAACTTGACACAGCTCATCAGATGAACAAATAGGCTCATAAAACCACAGTAACATACCTCATCTTGGGTCGCAGTTCGAGGAATCCCACCAACATAAAGCTTCACAAAACTGCCATCATCAACTCTATCTATCAAAAAGAAAGCAATAACATCACCTAACAAATCTCACACCATCAAAGAAAGAACTTCAAACTCGAACCGCCTTACCTGATCAAGAAACGAGCTTTTCCTACCAAAATCTAATCATTCACAAAATCACAAGTGTACATAATTATAGCAAGTTACATACCATTCAGTGGACACAAAGGACAATATCAAGCTTATCACAACAAAATCATCAAAACCCTAATTCTAGTAAAGTTGAGATTTTTTCTTAGCAAATAGTTCTACCTAGTAGTAATCAGTTCAATTAACATACAAAATCAACAATTTATCAAACAATTAACAAAAACTGAAGTAGTTCTACTAGTACCCATCAAATTTATTTGAAGAAATTACCGAATTTCCGCTTCTTTAAGAAATGGGATTTCGGCTGAGGCTGCGGCGGCTGACTGAAACCACCTCCGGCGGCGGCGAAGGAGTGATCGGGAGGAGGGTGAAAGGGTTGAAATTGAGGAAAACCGTCGCCGGGAAATCCGGTATTCCCCCATTGGAAGTTGGGAGGTTGTGGTGGTGGTGGTGGTGGTGGTGGAAGTGGGTCCCATGGGTTGGGGTTGAAAGATGGAGGGTGTGACTCCATTTTCGAAAAGCTGCTCGAGTTGATGGTGATCAATTCAGTAATCAGTATGTTGGTTTGTATTCTTGTGGGGTGGGGTGCTATGAGTCTATGAGGTTGACCAAAGTTTGTGCAAGTTTAGTGAGTACAAGACTTGTTATGATTGAATTTTTGGGCATGACACTCATAAGGGTGCATTTCTTTGGTGTGGGCTAAGTGTGGCGTGTTTTAAGACTTATATGAATCTTGTGTTGTGGATCATGTTAAGAAGAATTATGGGTACTTAGAGATGATGATATTGAAATTCTTATACACAATAACTATTTGGGAAGCAATGACGGTGATGGGTATATATGTAAGAGATAATGATTAACTAGGATACTTGTAACGTAATAAACAAATAATGTATCTTTTTACTGTAGCCACGTTTTATAATAATGGTGTGTATTTGTTTGCTGAATCAAATTTTAATTTTGTTTAATTGTTGGGATGGTGCTATGTTCTAAAAATCTAAAGTAATGGTGTGTATTGTTGCTGAGTTAATTTTTATTTTTTGTTTTAAAAGCTCAATAATGATACGGCCTTTGGATATAATTTTGTTGGGATGGTGCTACATTTTGTGCAATAACTTTATAAAGTGTCGCATTTGACTCTTGTCAGTCCAATATTTCAAGGGTTTGAAAATTGAAATTGATGCTCAACAACCATAATTCATAAAGAGACAATACTAGTCCATAGAATTGTAGAGTGTAGATTGTAGGAAAAATCATCCTATTCTAATTTCTAATGATAAATTGTTGCCTATAAGAAACAATCTCTCAAAGTGTACATATCATGAAATCATAATCAACTACAAGTATGCTAGTGAAGCATAAAAATTGCATGCACATATATACGAGGATGTGATTCTTCATGCGATTTTCAAATGTCCTGTAGTTTGTCTTCCAAAAAATTGCATAGTTCTTCTCCTTTATGAAAAATAGGAGGCAGGCTTCATTTTCGTAATTAGTGAATCTTAATCAGTCATCATATAAAGCATATCTTTCTCTATACTAGGACAACCAGGAAATGATCTTCTTGTGTAAGACTGCAACATAATCAGCTTCAACTGGGCTTTCTCCCATCTGCACAAGAGTTGAACACAGTAATTATATGCATTGTTTCACATAGAGTAGCTTCATATAGCTCATACATATTGCGCATGATCATACATAATGCACGCATAAAATATATGTTGAGAAGATATGAAGAAATAAAAGTATGTACTCGCTCCCAAAAACCTTAATCTTTCACCCTTAAATTTGTAACTATTATCAGTAGTTCAGTACCCTTAGCTTTGGCATTGAAGTGTGCTAAACTGAGTATAGATGTGACCGGTGCAATGCACAGTAAGTTGCATTTCATGTATACTTAATCAGTTAGTTACAACCTTAAAATTCATAAATTCCAAAGCTCAACAATAAGTTTAAATAAGGGCTATCCAAGCTAAGGTCAAATGTTCAATGTAAGGGCTAACAAGTTAGACAAATAAATTTATATTAGAGGTTTTCAGGTGAAAAGAACGAAATTGTTCTTGCTTCTGGCCTTCTGAGACTGCGAGAAGGCACAAAGGCATCATAATATCACACTCTGATCTCAACCTTAGTTAAGGAATCACACTTCTAATCACTGAAACCTCTTGAGTTTTTCATGCAGTTTGCAGCCCAAGTCATGCACTTTCTCTACTTTGTAATTCAGTAGACATACTAGATTTAATGTATGTCTGTGATAGGCAAAGAAAACATACTTGAAAATGAAGATGGAAGCAGGATCTGTCTTCACAGGCACGTTGCGAAGAGGCACCTAGGACATGGATGCCTTGACCTTCTAATTTCTCAATCAAAGTGGACAAGATACCATCTTTGTTGTTCTGTTCACATATTTGGACTATCACTTCACCCTTTTTTACTTCATTCATTGAGACTGTTAGTGTCCTTTTATCTTTGTTTGCATGATCACGAACATCACTGCTACCTACGACAACTTGCTGCTTCTTTCCTAGCACTGATAACATGTTGCTCTTCTCGATTGTTAGCTTCTCTATCTCAGCTTGAAGCTGAGGGACATAATCAAGGGCTCTATCAATTATATATGGTCCACTCCACCTCTTCTGCAAATTTGTCCATGTATTAGAGTAAGTGCACGCCAGTTAATTAATTAAGAGTTGTAGACTGCAAACAAGTGTGTTGCAGTAGCAAGTATCCCCATCATATAAGAATCAGGAAGAAGGATGCAATTATATAATCATTCTCAAAGTATCCTATGAGATGCAATCAATTCAATAATCTACACTTGTAATGCTTCATAAAGTCCTAAGCAGACCTGTTGCCTTTTAAACTATGAGGAGTTTGTTCCTTTTTTTTTGGTAAGGAAAGCAAAGCATTGTTCAAGTCTTTGTAAGTTTGCCTTGTATTTCAAGTTGAAATGGAATCTTCGTATTTCACCTCAATTAAGGTTTGTTATAGGGTTAGTTATTTCGGTTTTGTTAGCTGTAATGAGCTTCAAGGAAGCAGGTTTTGTATTAGGTTGCAATCAAATCTATGTAATTAGAAGACATACATAAGTAGGGATATAGGGCTCTAGACTTGCTGGTAGAGGTGCTTCCATAACTTCCAATGATATTGGCATTGGGAAGAAGATCAAGTGAATCAAGAAGAGTATTGTAGTATCGAATTGGGTGTACTTGTTAGGTGCTTTTTCTCCGGGCTCTACTTTCCTCGGCTTATCTCTGCTGAGCTGAACTTATTGGTGTATTAACTTGCTTTTTTCTTTGGCTGAAACTTACTTATAATAAGCTAAGGAGAACATAGCCTAATTACTGAGCATTGCATACACTTATAACAAAGAAATAATCTCTGAAAGACCAATAATTAAGGACAACCTAAAATCATCCAAGTGATCTAACAACATAAAAAATCTCTTAATGAAGTCACCCATATATAGGTGTATAATATCATATATGTGTCCTATTGGTGTGATTTAATTTGGTGTCTTAGGTTAAAATCCTTCCCATCTTCAAGCAGAATTAATAGACCTAAGTTTTGATGATTTATGTACAAAATACACTTAATTATAAACATGACCACTTTAAATTAGCTGAAATATGATTTACTGTATGTTTGAACTTTGAACTTTTGAAGGATGCATGAGGCAGAGATATTCTTGTCTTTTACTTTGTATTAATTGAATATATCAATCAAATGATAACTGCCTAGTTATTTATACAAGCAACAAAAACAATAATATAGCATGTAAAAAATTTTAAAAGTACCTTAGCTCTTCTAGAATCTGGGAGCAAAGAACGAAGTACCAAAAATGTTTCATTAAGCTTCATCCTCCTTACTTTTTCCTTAGCATTGTGATCAAGTTTCTTACAAGATGATCCTTCTCTAACACCCCCATCTGCAGGGGCAGCAGTTTGATCATCAATCATCGTTGTCGTTGTCGTTGGCATCATCGTTGTCGTCGTGGTGGGACAGTAGTATTGCATCTCATGATGCCCCTGAGATGAGCCCTCTGCTGCTGTACCCTGCTGTACATGTTGTTCAAGACCAACCTGTTCAATTGGACTAATCCAATTAATTGGGTCCTGTATGTTGGGACCATATTGTTCTATTAGTGTATAATCTTCTAAATGATCTTCACCAAGAAATATGCTTAAATCTTGGTACTCTGACATGGGTATTGGTGATGTATTAGGCAAAGTAGTTTGATCTTCAATAAGAGGTGGAAAATTAATGGGATCATCACTTGGTGGTTGATATGGGAAAGAGAAGTCATCTTCCTCATTGTAGAGGGGATTTCCAAAAGGAGGGTTAGACATAAAAGTAAATAATACATAAATAATCGATGCTTTTATATGATTGCGATCAGGGATGACCAATGAATAGAATAGATCATAACCATCTAGACCGCGTTATAATAAATAGTTAGGAAGAAAACTCTATCATAATTAACATAAAACATGATTCTTTCATGAATCTTGTATTCTTAAAAAAGAGACGGATTGTTTCGAATACTTTAAGTACAATCATTGTTTTGACTTTTAAAGTCTGTTTCTTTTTATAATATGCATCATGTTAACTGTGACACAATGATTATTCTTATCTTTAATTTTAAAATCGAAAAGATACCAAATGGTTAATTGACATGATTAATAAAAAAAAGTACAATACTTACTAAATAATTACATGTACTACCTAGTACCAAGCATGAAAACAATGTTTTAAAACTAGTTGCAAAGTTTATATGATTGGGAAAAATACAAGTATGGTAGTATGACAAATGAATTGTATAGCAAATACAATAGATTAAAATAACATATATTATACCTAAGTCACATAATATAAGAGAATAAATCAAATTTAAGGCAAGAGAGGAAGATGAACTAACCAATTAATCTTGGTTTAAGAGCTAAAAAATCATCAAAAGCACCTTCATTGAGCAGTTGATTAGAGCCAAAAAGTAAGGATGAGGTAAATATTGTGGATGTACGTTCATTCGATAGGAAGAAGAGGGGAGTACTACGAGATAATATGAGTAGTACAAGTGTACAACATACAAAGTGAATATAAAACAAAGAATAAAATAAAGTGAGAAGCTTTATAAAAAAATGGGCAAAAAATAAGATTAAGCTGGAATTAAGGAGTTAAAATGATTAAAATTGGAGGTTAGAGAGGGAGGAAGAGGAGAGAGAAAGTTGAAAGAGTTTATGGGTTTCATGAGTCCAATGAAGAATATTTAGACATGATTGAGTTATAGTAATATGTGGAGAGTACTATATGTTTGGAGGAGGTGGGAATTTTTTAATGCATATGTTGCTAGTACAAGTGCCTTAGCATGCAAGTACACATCTTTGCATAAGGTGAAGTACGAGTCTTTGTAATCTCAAGTACTACCAGAAAAGCCATATAGAAATTTCTACCAAAAGTTACTATCTCCATTACTAACCAAATACTTTAAGCAGTTTTCATTAATTTTATGATGGAATGTAATTGTTTTGGGTGAGCTCCGATAATTAATGAATGGAGTCGGTAAAAGTTTATCATCCAAGTAGGTGCTCGTATAGTCAACATGTATTAACTAATCCGGGGATTTATCCGAGAATAAGCGCTCTAATACTAAAGTCTGGTCGATATGAGTAAGAAAGGAAATGAGAGAGAGAGGGGTTTAGAGAGATGAAATCGTACATAGCTTAAAAGTGAATTATGCTTGAGTAGTATTTATAGAAAGATAACCAAGCTGGTGCTATGTGTCGGTCCACGTAGCTGGCATAACAAGTGGGCGGTGAATATCCATGTGATTGGGAGGAGCTCTCCAAATGGCTAACGAGAGTAGGCCGATATGGTAAGAATACCGATATAGAATAGGATAGGGGAAAAATTTCAGCCAAAAGTTTCCTATACCATATCGGCACCGGTGTCATCTTGTACAATAATTCTCATAGATTGTAACTTTATAGGCATTTCTACTTTCCATATTAATAAATGACCCCTTAGATTTAGGTCATGAGATTTTCATTTGGCTTTAGTGACTAATTATTCAACCTAGTCATTAGGGTTCACTAACTTATTTAAAATAATGTTTTTAAAAAGATGGAATATAACTAGGTAGTAAAAAAATTTCGGTTAAAAAAATTTGAAAATCGAAACTAGTTACAACTTGTTTCTAAATACAATATTTGGAAACAAACTATTGAATCTAGTTATGGTCCATATGTGGAAGATAAAAATCATATATCGAACTCCTGGACTCAACGAAAGGAAATCAGTGTTGATTAGGGGATTTTTATCCACCAAGCGCCGTTTGACAAGTGGACCAACCAGGTTCCGCCACGCGTCCTCCACGGACCACTTAAGACACGCCACGTGTCCACCCATGCCAAATGGGACAACCGGCCATCAAGGCCCATTTCAGTCTAGAAGCCCGATCGGCCCTAGGTTTACCTTAAACCTAGAGAGTTGCACGCTTCCCAAGGCTATAAATACTCGATTAATCCTCATTAATCAGGGGACCGAATAATTTACGGAACACACTAATAACCGGCTGATCTCGCTAGCAAAGCAGATTACCTACATTAAATACTCTCACCTAGAGAGACCTTGTTACTTTAATTTCTGTATTAATTACTCCTTAATCAGGTACTAACTTGACCGTTGGAGGCGGAGCTCTCAGGAGTCTCCGTTATTTTGCAGGTACAGGCGTCCGGTTCCAGTCTCGGAATTGTAGCTCTCCCGCAGGACATCAGAAAACCCCAAAACATCTGGCGCCGTCTGTGGGGAGAGTACTTCAGAGATGGCATCCAAGTCTGTACCGACCCCAGAAGAGAGGCGTCCCCTAGACGACCCTCAAGTTCAGTCGGACCATGATACCGAAAGTGAATTTGAAGTTGAAACTCATACAGCTCCAGACGGGACCCTAAGGGCCCGCCGTACCCGTCATACTGAAATAAGGGAACGGGAGTATCTTCAAACAGGAAGCGAGCCAGCAGGCGCACCGCTTGCTCGGCAACAGCCGACTGATGGGTCTGCTCCCATCACAAGGAACGAACTCATGACCTTCATGAGGGGATTCAAGGGAGAGATCCAAGAGTTGATCAACAAAAAACCGCCTGCTTCAGTCAAAGAGCAGGCGGCCAAAAAACCTTCCACTTCACTGAAGAGGAAGCCAGTTCAAGGGCGAGAGGCGACTCCCCATCCTAAATCTAAGAAGCGGGAGCCGTCTGCTCTTGATTTCACAAAACTCCGTTATCCTACGGGAAATAGGAAACCGGTTCGTCATATTCAGGCGGACGGGTCAAAGCAAACGTTCACAGATGCTCGGCACCTGCTAGAGCAGAAGAAGAGTGACCGATTATCAGAGTCGGCTTCTACTTCAAATTTTCAGGACAGTTTGCGAAATGCCTCGATGAGGCCAACTCAGTCGTACCATGAGAGTCAGTCAGGCGGCACCTCCCGTCAGTCTGGCTTTCATAGTGCGCAGGCGGTACCAAATTTACCATTTGTGCCGCAACAACAATATTTTATGCAGCCACCTCCATTTGGTGGACCTGCAGCAAAAAACGTCCAACCTATGGACTGGCAGCTACGGCTGCTTAGACTTGGTGAACAGCCGTCGGCCTTCTCCAAGGAAATTACTGAAGCCGCTCAGCCGGCCAAAGTAAAAAATGTTTTAGTAGGCGCCTATGATGGCACTACTAACCCGGAAGACCATCTGATGGCATTCACCAACCTGATGTACCTTCAAGGGTTGGATGATCCCACTTGGTGCAAGTGTTTCCCAGCAACTCTCAAGGGAATTGCACAGCAATGGTTCGGCAACCTGCCGACTGGTTGTGTAAACAGTTTCAGGACGCTTGCTTACTTATTTGCCTCCAACTTTGCAATGAACATCCCTGCGAAGAAAACGACCCTTGATTTGGGAACAATTCAGCAGGGTGAAAAGGAGGGGCTTCGTTCCTACATCAGGCGGTTCAACCTGATGAGAATACAGATTCAAGGGTTACCGGATGAGGTAGCTTATACTGACTTTTTTAGAGGTCTCAAAGACGGGTCTACCTTCAAATTTGATTTAGTTCGAAAAAGGGTGGCGACTCTTCAAGAGGCCTTGATTGAAGCAGAAGCCTATATACAGGCGACTGATCTGTGTACAATGAAACAGTCGGACGGGAAGAGGTTCGACAATAGAGAAGGACGACAGAAACAGTCGTCCAACAAAGATGAAAAAAGAAAAGGGGTCTGGGCGGCTGATTCCTCTAAACAGCCGGCCAAGAAGAAAAAGGAATTCAAACCATACTCCCCAAAGTATGTGTTTAACAAGGATAACCAGTTTATCCTAAAAGAAATAAAGGGACGGCTCTCAATTGAGAAACCGCTCCCCATGAAGGGTTCTGCGAGCAACCGGAACCAAGACAAAATCTGTGCTTATCATGATGACATTGGTCATCACACCAACGACTGCATTAGTCTCATGCGGTACCTAGACCGCTTGGCTGATCAAGGTGATCTTGACACTTATGTCAAGAAATCTACGGGGAATACTTCCTCAAAAAAGCAGTCGGCCAAAAAGAATCAACAGGCCGACAGTTCCGATACAGATGATGCAGTCGTCTACACCATTGCAGGCGGCTTCTCAGGAGGCGGCCCCACTATTAGGGGCAACAAAGATAATATAAGGCGGTTAGATGTAAATTCCGTTCACCAAGAACGACCGTCCAAATATACATTTCCTGAGATTGTCATCACTGAAGAGGATCTAGGAGGAATAAGGGGGCCGCATGACGACCCTCTCGTTATTGAATGTAAAGTGGCCAACCAGAGAGTTGGTCGAATCCTCATAGATACTGGGAGCTCTTCAGATCTCATCAGCAGCAAATGTCTGTCAAAACTGAAATATCAGACGGACTGCATACATCCGGCCTCCCACCCTTTAATAGGGTTTGGAGGAGGAGTCGTCCACCCACTGGGACGAGTTGATCTACCCGTCCGCCTGGGCGAAAAAGGGGAAGGACGACACATGGTAGTCCGATTCCTAGTTGTAGAGGAACTCTCTGCCTACAACATGATTCTGGGTCGCCCAACCCTGAATAGTGCCAAGGCTGTTATAATCCCGTCACTTATGCTGCTTAAGTTTGAAAGGGACAATGGAACAGTCGGCTCCCTAAGGGGAGATCAGAGGATGGCCCGAGAGTGCTATCTCTCGGATGTCAAACCCACTGCTAAGGCCACTGGGTCAAGTGGAGAAAAAACAGACCTTGACAATGTCAAGGAAAGTGCGCCTGTTCAAGAAACAGGCGACAGAAAAAGAAAGGCGTCCCAGACAGAGTCCGCCAGAAAGGCAAGAAAATAGCAATCATTGGCAGAGGACCGGCCGGATGAGTTCCGCCCTCAGCCGGCTGGTGAGCATACGGACCTGATATTAGACGACTCCCGCCCTGACCGAACAGTCAAAGTTGGGACGACTGCTCTGAGAAACCTTGGTGATGACTTTCACAACCTGTTGAAAGAATACAAGGACATCTTTGCATTTGAAGTCCATGAAATGCCAGGCATTAGTCCTGATCTGGCAGTACACAAACTCGCTGTGGATCCGAAAAAGAAGCCGGTACGGCAAAAGAAGCGGAACCATGGTGAAGAAAGAGGTCAGGCGGCCGCCGCCGAAGTCAAAAAATTACTTGATGCAGGGTTCATTCGGCAATGTTACTTCCCAGATTGGGTTGCAAATGTGGTACTTGTTAAAAAGCCGAATGGCACCTGGCGAATGTGTGTAGACTACACAGACTTGAACAAGGCGTGCCCCAAAGACAGTTACCCTCTGCCCAAAATTGATAACCTGGTCGACTCAACAGCCGGCCATGCCTTGATGAGTTTTATGGACGCCTATTCTGGTTTTCATCAAATTCCTTTGTGGAAGAAAGATCAGGAGAAGACGGCCTTCGTCACTGATCAGGGATTATACTGTTATACGGTCATGCCGTTTGGTCTTAAGAATGCCCCGGCTACATTCCAACGAATGATAAACACAGTGTTCTTTGATCAGATTGGGAGAAACGTCGAGGCATACATTGATGATATGATTGTTAAGACTAAACTTCAGAAAGATCATCTGACGGACCTCCGAGAAACTTTCGCCACACTCAGGCGGCACCATGTCATGCTCAATCCCAAGAAATGTGTATTTGGAGTTGAGTCTGGGAAATTTCTCGGATTCCTTATCAACCAGAGAGGAATAGAGGCGAACCCTGAGAAGGTACAGGCGGTCGTTGACATGCAGTCGCCTCGTACCGTCCGAGAGGTTCAGAAGTTAACAGGTTGT